TATAATTAAACTAAAATTATTATAGACTATATGGTTTTTGTCATCTTCTGATTGGTCAACTTCAGATGGATCGCCAAATCGTCTCGTTCAGCCGCACATACGCCACGAATTTAAACCGACAGCATCCGATTTTTTTTGACATGTTTGAAAATTATCGGGAGGACGGGAGGTGCTCGTAACGTCTCGGATCGGCCCGTAATTCTTCTCACACGGTACGAGCCGCGACCATGCGAGCATCTGCGATTTTCTCCCGAGAGAAAAAAATCGCCTGCGAGCTCGTACGACAGCAAAAATCGCACCGTGTACGCCAGCAGAAAAACTCCTCAAACACGATTCCTATCTGAATCTGAGCCAAATTATGAGTCTGTGTTCGATTCACAGCCTATTTTCACATGAATGGCATTATTTCATGCCTAATCCTGATTCTAAGGTCAGAAATATGGCCAGTGACAGAAGAAAATGCAAACATGAGCCTGATGTTTTCTACATCTGTGGGTGTTTTGCTGCATCCAAACAGCGGCAGAAAATGACAGATTTTGCGAAAAAAGATTATTTTTTAAAATTTCTTTGACATTAAGTTTTTAAACACATTTTCCACTCATTTGCAGATCAGAGGTTAAACTTATTTTTGTCAGACCTTTGACGTTGATTGCTTGTGTTATTTTGACAGGTGCATTGAAGCTGTTCTGTGTGTGGGCCATTCTACAGAACTGGTGCAAACTGCTGTCCCACACCCAAAAAAACACATTTAAACAGCATTTAGGAATTCATATCTTAGATATTTCCTAAGATACTTCTATTATCTATTGAAGCCCACAATAATATTTAAAATATCAGTACGTTTAATATAAAAAAATAATTTATTTATATATAATTTATTGGGTACTTTCAATTGGAAGGTAGCTGTCCTGAACCCAAAACCCTAAAACTTTTAGTAAAATAGCAAAAAAATATATTTACAAGGTAGATGTAAACAAAATCTTAATAGGCCTAGTATAACCCTTCTTATTAAATTATATATTTCTGTGTTTCGGTAGTGACAAATTTGAGGAGAGGAAAAATATTCCAAATCTTTCTGAAAATAGAATATGAGAATTAACTGCACAATTAATAGAAATGTGTACCTTAGATATTATACAATTTGCATGCATACAAAATTTGTGGAAAAAGACACATTTTTTTCAAGATGTTTCCAACTACTTTGAACCAATTCTGTATAAAGTCCTATGCATGATTTGAAAAATTCTGGAAAGTTTCTAAAACTAATTTTATAAAGCGGATAGTTCCGGTGCTTGATTCTGATTGGCTGAGCCGCATTCGAAGCTGTTGTAAATTACTCTACAAACATACACCTTTGTTTACGTTTGTGTGTTGCTCGGCAACCACTTTGTAGCAACCACAACTGTTTCTGAGGAGCTACATTGTTTGGTGGAAGAATACTGTTTTTATTAATATCATTACACTTTATTTGCTCTTTTATTTTGTGAAACCTTACTACGTATATGGAATAACCGTTTTATAAAAGCAGTAAGCCCCGTGAAGCCGTGGTTTACAGTGAATTTATAACAGCTAAGAGTAAGTATCAGAGTAATATCTGTGTTTCTCTCCGTCAGCCGTGATCATGACGCCGACGCGAGAGCTGGCGCTGCAGATCACCAAAGAGTGCAAGAAGTTCTCCAAGTCTCTGGGTCTGCGTGTGGTGTGTGTGTACGGCGGCACCGGCATCAGCGAGCAGGTGTGTGTGATCCGCTTCATCACGCTTCATAACCTCTCACACAGAACCTGCTCTAACCCAGTGTGTGTCTGCAGATCGCAGAGCTGAAGCGCGGCGCAGAGATCATCGTGTGCACTCCGGGACGCATGATCGACATGCTCGGTGCCAATAACGGTACGTGCCTCATGAGTTTGTGCTGGATATCATCACACGCATGCATCAGCTCCAGCTTCACGTTCTGTGGAAAGCAGTGATCCGGCTTCAGTTAACAGCGTTATTAGAGCTCACTGAAACCATACAAAACATTTTCATTAGTTGAAATGAATGTTAACGGAAATAAAATAACATATAGAAAAATTAAATGTGTTTTATTTACAACATTTAACATGTTCGTTTAGTTTATCCTAATGTACTAAAATAACTAAAATTGAAATTACAATTAATTCAAAGAAAACTATGTAGACAAAAGCACACAACAGAATGACTAAAACTGTAACTAAAATTAACATGAAAGCAAAAAATATAAATAAAATCTAATTCAAAATATTAACAAAAACTATAATATCAAGGCATAATGTCACAATTTACACAATCACACTTACACTGGAATGGGTATGGGTCAAAATTGTAAAAAAAATGTTACCAAAAATCATTAGGATATTAAGTAAAGATCATGTTCTATGAAGATATTTTGTAACTTTCCTACCGTAAATATATCAAAACTTAATTTTTGATTAGTAATATGCATTGCTAAGAACTTCATTTGGACAACTTTAAAGATGATTTTCTCAATATTTAGATTTTTTTGCACCCTCAGATTCCAGAATTTCAAATAGTTGCATCTCAGCCAAATATTGTCCTATCCTAACAAACCATACATCAATGGAAAGCTATTTATTCAAATTATGCATAAACCTCAATTTCAAAAAACTGACCCTTATGACTGGTTTTGTGCTCCAGGGTCACATTTAATTAGTCTTTACTATACACCATAATATTGTTAGAAACCGCATCCCCTCTATCAGAATCTGTGCATTTTTGCAATATTACTTTTTTTTAATGCTACCTTATGACCTATGCCATTCATGTGTTGGTTAATGCAAATGTCTTCAAGCATCTTTCTAAAACAACAATATAAATATAATTCGGCACACAATTGCATCAGTTTCAAAACTAAAAAGGAGCGTAATGTATAGAGTCACCTTTATTTCTCGTCTCTGTGAAACTGCTTAAAATGTGTTAAAATACAAATGCATTGAATTTAATGTGCAAACACTGAAATTTAGTTGAGATTAAGGCTGCCTTTTTTGTTTATGTATATAAAAATGCGCTCAGAATACCTATTTTTTCGTGTTACGTGTGTCATGCAATAGTTGCCAGGTTTATCAGCTTTTTATGCTCATAACACAAGTTACTCATACAAGATTCACTCTAGTCTGATGTTTTCAGGTATACGGTTCATCAGTTGTGAATGTAAGATTTGGAGACTGGATTTCTCAGTGTTTTGCGTTCAGGTAAACTAAGCGCACTAACTAGAGCAGGAGCGGATGTGCCGTGTGTTTCCACACATGCGAGGTAATCTCTAATATGTTTCCTTCATAGGTCACACTTCAGGCGGCTTCAGCTCAGTTAATGTTTGATGTGGCTCTTGTGAGTTTTACTCTGATGGTACGCACGTTAAGCAGTTCTGCGTGAAGGACTCCGGCTGTAGTTTGCCTGTCGTTTGCTTTGAGCTGCTAGTAAACGTTGCTGTCTGCAGCATTCACTCTGCTAAACGTGCTGCTGTTGTGTTGCGCAGGTCGCGTGACCAATCTGCGCAGAGCCACGTATGTGGTGATGGACGAGGCCGACCGGATGTTCGACATGGGCTTTGAACCACAGGTCAGTCTCTCTCCTGCCACACGACGCACTATTATAAAACAGTTCCGGTGCTTGACTCTGATTGGCTGAGCCGCGTTCGAAGCTGTTGTAAATTACTCTACAAAGTAACACACCTTTGTTTACGTTTGTCTGTTGCTCGGCAACCACTTTGTTGCAACCACAACTGTTTCTGAGGAGCTACATTGTTTGGTGGAAGAATACTGTTTTTATTAATATCATTACACTTTATTTGCTCTGTTTTATTTTGTGAAATCTTACTACGTATATGGAATAACCGTTTTATAAAAGCAATAAGCCCCGTGAAGCCGTGGTTTACAGTGGATTTATAACAGCTAAGGGGGTTTTAGGCACTCCACAGGGCACTTCACAGGGCTTATTGCTTTATTTGAACACGGCTGAGACAGTTAGTTTCCCATTTAATGCTGATTTGAAATATGTTACCAAGCAGTTTTTCACGCAGAGTGGAGTTGGTCTTGACTGACTGAAGCAGCATTGACAATAGAGAATGGGCAACTGTCGCATTGCATTCTGGGTAGCCATATTTTAGGATCCACTCAGGAACATACGGCGACAATAAACACAAATCACCAGAGAAAAAACATGAGTTCACTTAGGACAACACTGATCGCAGTTTCATTCATACTTTTTGAGAACTACTTGCACTCGTTAAGAATAAAACTAATAATATTTATCAATATAACTATATATATTTAGGGGAGCGCGGGGCACAAAGTAACGCGGGGTTAGTTGTAACACACGTGGTTTGAATATTTCCACACATGCTAACATACCAAAATTTGCATGATTTACCATATCAGAAAAAAATATGCGCCAAAATTCAAAAATCTTTTGACGATATCGCTGAACATTCTGGCTTAAGTACATTTTTCATCTTAGTTTTTATTCATTTAAAATGAGACAAATCTGCTATTATTTTAATCTACAATCTGTTATTTATCAGTTTAGATCGTTTTTAATGCTTTGATTACTAGCAGAAGACACTAACCAGTTTTAAACTCCAGTTGCGCAGATGAGGCACGATGTAACACTGCGTTACAATGTGCTATTCTAGGACATTAGATGTACTTTACACTGTTTACGTTAAAAAATCAGATTATTTTTAATTCTTAAAAAACGCCAATATTTTATTTGAAAATTTTTTTTTTTATTTTATTAACAAAATATTTTAGTTTGTCTTATTTTTTTTTTCATTCGATCAGATAACATTTTAAGCTGTCATACAGTCGTTACAACGTGCCCCTCAGATGTTACAATGTACCCACCTACGGGGCATGTTGTCACATTTCACTTCCATTTTTGAGGGAAAATAAATAAAAACGTATACACTGTAATTATGAAACAAAGCGATATATTTGTACTAGACAAGTGTAAAATTACTGTGGATAAATAAAAATTATATTCTGAACCCCATGTGGATTTACACAAACTGAGAAAGTCAAAAAGTGTTACTTTGTGCCCCGCTCTCCCCTATATATATTTAATATATTTGAATATTTATATATATTAACCCTTATAAGGTCCTCGTTTCTTGTTTACACTTAGGGTCTTTGGGGTCAATATGACCAATTGTAAAAAAATATATATACATTTTTAATCATACAAATAATATAGCTTTGTTTGTTTACTTCTCATCTATACATTAATGCTGTGTTTTGGGAGATATTAAGTACTTTTGTTCCTGTTTACCACAAAATTCCTCAACTACACCAGTATTGTATCACTTAAATGATGATCTAAATTAATTTTAAGTTGTTTCTGGATATTGCGTTATGTGTAGAATTCTGCCCTCTGCTGGTTAGAGAAAAACTTGTAGAAATCACAGTTTTTGAAAGAATAGTGTAATGACCATCTATATCCAGCAGAGGCCCATAGAGATCCATACATTTTTCTGGAAGTGGCCAACTGCTCCTCTCACAACATTTCTGATATATATTTTGTAAATATATATTGAAACATTATAAAATACATTAAAAAAACAGTTGCTTTTTGAGGTATTTCTAAGTGCCTGCTTTTGCAATAATGCTACACAAATTTGCAGAAATGCCACACAAGTTCTCACTAAAACTTGATTGCAGGCACATATTTATTTTAATCTAAAAAGTAAAATAAAAACAATTTTATTTTACTTAATAAATATGTATAAATATTTAAATCTCTTAACTACATTTGAGTGCTTTGATAAATTCAAGTTAAAGTAATAAAGTCATTAAACGTAAATATTTGTGTGGATCAAGTTTTAATGGTTGCATTTTATCTGCCGCATTGATCTTAGACCTATATAAAAATAAGATCTCTTCTATCAGAATCTGTTAGCATTTTCTGTGCATTTTAACCTCAGATTGCCAATTCTTTATGCTGTGATGGTGATCTCTGGCTTGTGTTTGTGTGTACTCATGAATGTAAACTCCAAGCATCTTCCTAAAGCAGCTCTATAATAATGAATATGTGTGAAAAGCACCGTGACACAGTTAGCAGCTGCTTCACTCGTGCAAGACCCGCTCGACTGGAATGAAGGAACGCAGAAACCGCCTCCTGCTCTAGCATCGTGTCCTGCAGTCCCACAGTGCCTTGCGCTGACGTCACGATCACACGGCTTTATAGCAGTCTGGTGGAGGCTCTCTGATGAACTCCTCGGCGTGTGTTTGTTGCAGGTGATGCGTATCGTGGATAACGTGCGGCCCGACCGACAGACGGTGATGTTCTCGGCCACGTTCCCGCGCACGATGGAGGCTCTGGCGCGCAGGATCCTGTCCAAACCCATCGAGGTGCAGGTGGGAGGCAGGAGCGTGGTGTGCTCAGACGTGGAGCAGCACGTGGTGAGTGCAGACGTGTGCGATTATACCACTGCTGGAGCGCAAACTCTGCTTTGAGGACACACAGATGACTTATTGTTCTGTTGTGTGCTGCATTTCTCATTTCCGTGAGAGCAAAGTGATAGGAATGTTTTTGGAAAGCCGTGCTGTTAAAGGGGTGGTTGATTGTGATTTCACTCTTTTAACGTTAGTTAGTGTGTAATGTTGCTGTTTGAGCATAAACAATATCTGCGAGGTTACGACACTGAAAGCTCAATGTAGGGATGCAACGATGCCATTTTTTCCAGAACCGATCCGATACCAGCGCAGTTTTTATTTATTTTTAAATCAATGTAGATTTTCTATACTACTTTGTGTTGACCTGATCATCACTCTTGTGTGTTAAACACAATCTGCTAAATATAGACAACTTCATTTAAACAAGTAGCCTAAATATATTCTATAAAATATATATATACTATAAAATGAAAACATTTCTTTTAAATGCATAGCACAGTAATGAAGGCAGCAGCATATGATAGAACAGAACAAAAAAGACTATTAATAATTTTTCATTGCGCAAAAGTATAGTTTGTTTACAATACAACCGCATTCTGAGGTGAGGGGCGTGACCTTTCCTGGACTGCACTGGCGGTTTAGCCAATCACAGCGCACTGGGCCAGCTGACCAATCAGAGCTCATCGTGTATTTCTGAGGGAGGGGCTTCATAAAACCAGGAAATCATCAGTGTTTATAGGACAAGGGACAGAGCAATGTAGAATAAAGGAAAATTATGTGAAAAATACGTTTTTGTTTTTTTTAAACGAAGCATTAACACATGTTAGATTGCACCCCATAAACACAATCAACCCTAGAAAAAAGCAAAGTCAACCACCCCTTTAATGATGACAAAATACACATTTTTTATATATATAAAAAATAATCTAATTTCAAAAATATATTTTTAAAATCAACAATGGAATAAAATACAAAAAAAATTCAATATTGTTTTTAGAAGTTGAAATTTAGGGGTTAAGTTTCGGGCAAGCCAGCTCCCAGTTGAAAATTCCCAATAAATTATGATTTTGTATGTGTTAAGCTTACTGATATTTTAAATATTATTGTGGGTTTCAATAGACAATAGAAGGAGCTTGGCAAACATCTAAGATTTTAATTCTGAAATGCTTTTTAAATGTGTTTTCGGTCGTGGGTCAGCACCAGTTCTGTAGAATGGCCCACACACACTGGAGGAGTTTGGAGTAATTAAGATTTGCTCATGTTTCTGAAAGAGTCTCTTCTGCTCACCGAGGCTGCATTTATTTGAGTTGCTGTTTGAGCATAAACAATATCTGCGAGGTTACGACACTGAAAGCTCAATGTAGGGATGCAACGATGCCATTTTTTCCAGAACCGATCCGATACCAGCGCAGTTTTTATTTATTTTTAAATCAATGTAGATTTTCTATACTACTTTGTGTTGACCTGATCATCACTCTTGTGTGTTAAACACAATCTGCTAAATATAGACAACTTCATTTAAACAAGTAGCCTAAATATATTCTATAAAATATATATATACTATAAAATGAAAACATTTCTTTTAAATGCATAGCACAGTAATGAAGGCAGCAGCATATGATAGAACAGAACAAAAAAGACTATTAATAATTTTTCATTGCGCAAAAGTATAGTTTGTTTACAATACAACCGCATTCTGAGGTGAGGGGCGTGACCTTTCCTGGACTGCACTGGCGGTTTAGCCAATCACAGCGCACTGGGCCAGCTGACCAATCAGAGCTCATCGTGTATTTCTGAGGGAGGGGCTTCATAAAACCAGGAAATCATCAGTGTTTATAGGACAAGGGACAGAGCAATGTAGAATAAAGGAAAATTATGTGAAAAATACGTTTTTGTTTTTTTTAAACGAAGCATTAACACATGTTAGATTGCACCCCATAAACACAATCAACCCTAGAAAAAAGCAAAGTCAACCACCCCTTTAATGATGACAAAATACACATTTTTTATATATATAAAAAATAATCTAATTTCAAAAATATATTTTTAAAATCAACAATGGAATAAAATACAAAAAAAATTCAATATTGTTTTTAGAAGTTGAAATTTAGGGGTTAAGTTTCGGGCAAGCCAGCTCCCAGTTGAAAATTCCCAATAAATTATGATTTTGTATGTGTTAAGCTTACTGATATTTTAAATATTATTGTGGGTTTCAATAGACAATAGAAGGAGCTTGGCAAACATCTAAGATTTTAATTCTGAAATGCTTTTTAAATGTGTTTTCGGTCGTGGGTCAGCACCAGTTCTGTAGAATGGCCCACACACACTGGAGGAGTTTGGAGTAATTAAGATTTGCTCATGTTTCTGAAAGAGTCTCTTCTGCTCACCGAGGCTGCATTTATTTGATCAAAAATACAGTAAAATAGTGAAATATTATTAGAATGTAAAACAGCTGTTTTCTGTGAATCTCTGTTAAACTGTAATTTATTTCTGTGATCAAAGCTGAATCATTACTGCAGTCTTCAGTGTCACATGATCTTCAGAAATCATGCTAATATGCTGTAAAATATCTCCCTTCTTCCAGACTTATGAGCGGTAGTGTATATTACATTTAAACGCGTGCTCGTGCGAATCCTCTAGATATGAAGTGGTCTGCAGCTCAGGCTGTGTTTTCCACTGCTTGCACAGATTGTGATCGCGGAGGAGAAGAAGTTCCTGAAGCTGCTGGAGATTCTGGGTCACTATCAGGAGAAGGGCTCCGTCATCATCTTCGTGGACAAGCAGGAGCACGCCGACGGCCTCCTCAAAGACCTGATGAAGGCCTCGTACCCCTGCATGTCTCTTCACGGAGGTCAGCATCTCTGTCCTCTGATACACAAACCATTTGTACTGGCCAGGGATTGAGTCTAAATGCTAAGAATCGAATGAAACACGATTTGATAAAGCAGCAATCTTTATTTTATAATATGTAAACGTTAAGTTAATTGCATGTAAGCAGGCAGCTCTCCTCCAAGATGTTCATGTCTTTATTCAGTCGAAAAGAAATTACTTTTTTTGAGGAAATGTTTTCATGTTTGCATCATGGTGTCAGACTGAAAGCTGCTGTTGTTTTTACAGAACATTTATAGCTAATAATAGTCTACTGGTGTTATGCCTTCAGTCATTTTGAATTTGAATTACCTTGACCTTTTGAGTTTTTTTAAATCATTTTCCTCTATTATTTCTGAACGTATAATATGTGTAAGACAAGTTGCTGCACTTGGAATAGAGTTTTCTTTAACTAGAGGGTTAATGTAGAACATGTTACTTGAATCATGTTGTATTTTCAAGTTGACTAGTTAAAAATCGTATAGAATCGAGAATCGGTCAAATGTTCTGAAAAAATCAAGATTTTAATTGTCTGCCACATCGGCCAGCCCTAGCTGTGAGTTAAAGCATTAACCCTTCACTGGAGTAATGCGCTTGGAGCTGGCTGTAGATCAGGGCAGCGGTGCTGATGTGTGTGGTGTGATCTGTGTGCGCAGGCATCGATCAGTACGACAGGGACAGCATCATCAACGACTTCAAGAACGGTGCGTGTCGTCTGCTGGTGGCCACCTCTGTGGCGGCGCGAGGCCTGGATGTCAAGCAGCTGATCCTGGTGATCAACTACAGCTGTCCCAACCACTACGAGGACTATGTGCACCGCGCCGGACGCACCGGCCGAGCCGGGAACAAGGTGTGTGTGTGTGTGTGTGTGTGTGTGTGTGTGTGTGTGTGTGTGTGAGTGTGTGTGAGTGAGTGAGTGAGTGTGTGTGCTGAGGATGAGCCTCACGTCTCTCTTTCTCTCTCTGTGTGTGTGTCTGTGTCTGTGTCTGTGTGTGTGAGTGTGTGTGAGTGTGTGTGTGTCTGTGTGTGTGTGTGAGTGTGTGTCTGTGTGTGTGTGTGTCTGTGAGTGTGTGTGTGTGTGTGTGTGTGTGTGAGTGTGTGAGTGTGTGTGTGTGTGTCTGTGAGTCTGTGTGTGAGTGTGAGTCTGTGAGTGAGTCTGTGAGTGTGTGTCTGTGTGAGTGTGTGTCTGTCTGTGTCTGTGTCTGAGTGTGAGTGTGTCTGTGTGAGTCTGTGTGTGAGTGTGTCTGTGTGAGTCTGTGTGTGAGTGTCTGTCTGTGAGTGTGAGTCTGTGAGTGTGTCTGTGAGTGTGTGTGTGTGT